CCAAATAGTGCCAGCGCGATAATCCAGCGGATTCTGCACGTTCACGGTTATTAGCCACAAATGAGCGGCATCCGCGCGGATCTGAAAATATTAGCCTTTTTGTCCTGCGTGGGAAACTGTGCGGAACCGCAAATGCGATGTGTGAATACAGCCTGAAGGAGGGAGCAGTGCAGTGGCTTTCCCTGCTGTGCCTGTGTGTTTTGTGGAGATGCACATAGCTTAGTGGCACAAATAAGGGTTACTCCACAGGACCCTGCAAAGGAAAGGAGCCACCCTAAAACAGGATATCCAGACCAGTAATCAGGGGATCAGCTCTTCAGCAGGAACAAACTTTTAGTTTGTTTACACCAGAGGTTCTCAACTTGTGTGACCTCGGGGCCCACATTTGTCCTCGATCATTAAGTCAAGACCCAAGGTGCACTGCAATGGAACGTACGGCATTGCATTCCAGTGCAGGTGATCGAACTGTGGGTGTGAGGTGCATTTGGGGTGCCATTCAAATGAATGGCAATGCAACCCACCTCCCCCACCAGAATGCACAGTAGGTGCGATTGCATGGTACAGGGCATTAATCACATGGGACTGTGCGATTAACGCACTGTACTGGTGTGAACGGGCCCTCAAAAACACTGACAGACGCACACAACCACAGACATATATTTTTTACTTTTTTTTTTAAGATCCACCCAGTCTCCCTACCTTATGAAAACGAGTGGATCCTCAACCTGCGGTCCATTGGGAGCTGCTGTGCTGTGATGGAGCTCCATCCATATGTGTATTGCTTGTACAGCTCCCATGCACACCCGTAGAGGTGCCGGGAGCCGTGATGTAACTCCAGGGCATGCAAGGTAGCTGTAAGCAATGCACATATAGATGGAGCTTCCTCGCGGCCATAGCGCCAGCTCACCCCACCTCACCTGGACACTCGGCAGCATATTTTGAATGACTGCTTGGTGCGAGAGCTGACAGTGCTGTGCTAGGGGGTGGCTAAGGACCAACCTAGAAAAGTGGAAGGCACGTGGCGACCCACAGGACACGAGGTCGCGACCCACCTTTGGGTCACGACCCACCAGTTGAGAACCTAGGGTTTACACCATAAGCAGTGCGTTCCGTTCCGATTCTGGCCGGAAAGCATTGCCTCGCATTGTGGACGGCTCACTTTTTTGCCAGACAGGAGGGGGTGTGGCGGGCCATTGAAGTGAATAGCACTGTAGCCACGCCCTCTGACCACAATGCGATCGCACGCACAGGATCGCAAGGCACGTTGTGCCTGCAGTACGGTGCGATCAAAATAGTGTTTGCCGCATTTTTAATGCACCGCACTGTGCCTTGCGATCCCGTGCGGGCAATTGCATTGCGGCCAGAGGGTGTGGCTATGGTGCCATTCACTTCAATGGCCCGCCACGCCCCCTCTTGCCTGGATAAAAAGTGAGCCGTCCGCAATGCGAGGCAGTGCGTTCCGGCCCGAATCGGACCGGAACTCACCTTTTATGGTGTGAACTCCTTACCATCTTGTCTTGAATTGTATTGTGACTGTAATGTCTTCCTTATATTGTAAAGCGCTGTGCAAACTATTGGCGCTTTATAAATCCTGTATAATAATAATAACCCTTAAACCTCAGGAAGCTGCTTCTATTGTAAGTGATTTTAATCAGCATGCGAAACCTTTTTACTGTATCACTATAAAATCTTTCCAGGAGCATGATGGGAATGCTGTGTTAGAAGCAAGTATACAAAACATAACTTTAGCCTGTTAGTACACCTTTTTGATTTGCTAAATAAACTTTGCACTGAATTGACTTCTGGGTGCGACTATCCTGGGGATGGAAAAGAAAGTGGTGTGAAGTGGAGCAGCTGCATTTTTGCCCCCCTCTTTCTTAGGACAAGCGCTCATAAATCTGTTACAATTATTGTTTACATTTTTTTGCATTTAAAGAACACTGGCAGTCTCTTTAGATTATGCTGCCATGGGGTTTCTTCTATCTGAACTTCAGGATAGAAAAGAAATGTTACGCTAATTGAGGCTATTCATACCTGCCGGTTCTATTAGCATTTTTTAACACCTCACATGCACCAAAGCTGCATATGTGGTTTATCCTGTATTTAAATGAGACTCTGCACATCTATGCATTTTGCTGTGCCCTTCCATTCAATACCTATTGCTTCCATAATAGATCAAATGATTACTTGCCTACAATCACATTCCTCATGTGAATGTTAAAATTCTAAAGAGTGCTGCCTGTACATAAGCAACATGGGAGGCTGAAATGTTAATGGTGAAAACTATAGAACTGGCTGACTTTAGAGGACAATTGTTATACAGCAGGGGTAGCCAAACTTTGCCCCCCTCCCCCAGCTGTGGTAAAGTACAAATCCAGTGCAGCGCCTAATCTTCTTTGACAGCTGACTCCTCCCCCCGCAGTGGCGTAACCAGAGTTATGGGCGCCCGGGGCAGAATTTTTTTTCCCACCCCCTCCCCATATTATATAAACATCCACTGGAACTGTACCCCCCACATATATATCAGCTAAGGAACTAAAAGTCCAAGCATGCCATCATTGTCCCTGTATACCCCCCCATACTCACACATATCACCCAGGGAACGGCAATATCTGATTGTTGTACAGGGGCAATGAGGGCATGCTGGGACTTGTAGTTCCCTAGCTGATATGTTATGAAACTGTATTCCACCTGAAAGTACTACAATGCCATTATAGAACTAAGAATAGAACATAAAATAAAACTTTTTTTTTCCTTCTAATACTCACCTGATTTCTGGATCCACCAACAAGCGCGGCCTCCCATCTCCTACGCTGTTAGAAGCTTCATACAGCGTGTGATGGTTGCTACTTAAACTGGCGCGCGCAGTGTGCAGCTTCTGAGAAGATACGCTATTAGCATAGCGGGGAAGCGGCTGCACATTTTGCATCGCTCCCGCTACGCTAATAGCGTATCTTCTCAGAAGCTGCACACTGCGCGCGCCGGTTTAAGTAGTAACCAGCACACGCTGTATGCAACT